AGTTGTGCATTCATCTTTGTGTTGGTTTCTTTCAAGTTTGATAGCTGTTTACATAAAGCAAGGATTTTGATTTGCTGTTTTCCATTTCTTGGAAAATGAACAATGACCCTTTGCATTTCTATATTGTTAATTAAATTTTGCTTGTATGTCATATTTTTGCACCAAAGAACTCATGGCTTAATTTCAAGTTTGTGATATTATAAAAAGAATGATCTTTTGGTTTATCTATGGAATATGTGTTTTCTCTAATTTGAAGTTTATTCACTATTAATGTAGAAGAGAGATGGATAATATGTGGAAAGAGTAACCTGAAATTGGTAGCTCAGAAATACAGTAGATGGGCTACTAAGCAATAGTATGAAGCGGATTAGAGGGAGGATGGGTTATAACTTTTAGTTTCTTTGTCAGCCATGATAGCTTTAGATAGTGTATTTGCGCTCAGCGTCCAAAGATTATAAATTTTTTTACAATAAGACTTCGAACAGTGAAAAACTACAAGAGTCATCATTCTTGTAGGGGCTTTTAAACAAAAATATTGAGTTGCTTCCAATAGCTAACAATATAAATGTACACTTGTTACTGGTCTTACCAACCCAAAAAGTATATCGATGCTCCCGTAGATGAATTACTATTACTTTCTGGTGACAAAGGCCACACTATTACTATTATAATTATTCAGTTATAAATTTTGATGTGACATTGAGTTCTTTCTAAACTTGACATTATGTGAAACAGCAACGATTTTGTTGGAAAATATAGATTAATTTGGTTTTAATGAACATATGATGCTGATGAAGTGTTTGATTGTATTGTTTCTGACATAAAAATTAATCCTTGTGTGCTTACCATTGGGTGGAGATCTTCCAATCACTTCCTTTCTTCTCAAAATCAAGAATTGTTTTTTACATATTAGCACGTCATGATGCAGTGTATTGGCTATTTTTGTTAAATTTTTGTGATGGTACTATTAATTTGCGTTGTTTTTATTTGACAGACAGGGAAATCGAGGCATTTTGGATTCATTGAATTTGAATCTCCTGAGGTAGTATTTGTGCATGGTGATTGACAATTAAGTCGCTGTGTTCGGGAATGTTTGTCTTAACATTCTCTGCTTTCTCTTTCCCCTGTTATCAAAATTGCAGGTTGCAAAAGTTGTTTCAGAATGCATGCATAACTACCTATTGTTTGAGCATCTGTTGCAAGTTCAGCTTGTTCCTCCTGTGCGTGTTCATCCTAAACTGTAAGCATTAAACTATTGCTTGTTATCCATTGTATGACCACTGATATTTTAAAGCTATGGCATTTTGAATTTATTGGTAATATCTAATTAGACTAGAGGAAATAAAAATGTCAAATTCTCCGAACTGTGGATGATAACCTTTGAACTGAAGCGATTGAAACCGATGTCGCAGAAGGGAAGAAGTCTTTGAAGGACCGGCTTCGTATTAGAACTGACTTGTTAATACTTCAAACATGCATAATTTATTCTCTTGAGTTTAAATATATTATTTCAGTTCAATAATAGTTCATAAAAAGCATGGCTGGGATGGTAGCCTATGCATGTTTCTGCAAGGCAATGAACTTATAAAAGAGAAGTCCAAAGTTGAGACCTTCAGGAGTTGAAATTCCAGTTTTTAGAAACAGAATACAATAATGTACTCTTTAGCTAATTTATTATAATTACAAAACCATGTGGTTTTGCTTGTGTTTCTATAAGAAGATTTTACGATTTCACTTCTAGATCCCTTCTGCCTTACAACAAAGAAGTAAATTACTAATGACTAAAAAAAGGAAGTAAGATGGTGAAGAGAAGGGAAAATTATATACGCTATGAGAAAAGCTAACGGTTCTGTTTCTTATTTTTAGATGGAAAGGTGTGACACACCGGTACAAACCCGTGGATTGGGTTAAAATTGAAAGGAGTCATCATGATAAGGTATGAAATGTGATATAAAACTTTGCGATTCTATTCTTTTGTTGGAAAAAAAAAATGAACTTATCCCATGATTTGAAATTACATCTATCAATGCTGCCTGCTTATTTAAGCCCCTGTTTGTGCCACATTCTTTAAAAACTCATTTTTCCGTAAACTCATTTTCAACCCTCCATTCTCCCAATAAAATAATTTTTAACGTAAATCCAAAACTTTTTCCTACTTTTTAACCACACATTCTCAAAAAAATAAAAAAATAATCACTATTATAAAATCTATTCTACCAAAAAATGGGAAAAATCCCGCAATATGATCAAGATTGAATGGCTAATACATAATATCCAGGAAAGGACTTTGGAAGAGCACAAGAAGTTGGTAGAAAGAATTATGAAAAGGGACCAGAGAAGGCGGAAGAGGATTGAGGCCTCTGGTATCGATTATGATTGTCCAGAAATTGTAAGCATATTCTCATTCCTTTCATCGCTTGGTGATGCTGATATCTATTCCGGACTTCAGAAATTTGCTTGTATGGAGAGACTAATTTTTATTTGAATAACACGATTTTCTGACTAATATAAAGTGAATATTCATTGAGGGAAGGTACATTCCTGCCCCAGGCTCTTGGTCGCATGGATGAATCCTGCTCCCTGAAAAAATGGGTTCTTTGATTTTCTGAAGGCCTGTTTAAATGTGCAAGTTCTTGTATAATTGTATTGTGGTGCTCCGGTTTCAAAAAATCTGATCTAGTCATTTTATCACTGGGGATGTCATATTCTGTGACTCTCGATCATATTGATTTGACGTAAAAAAAAATTAGTTGGGGATCAAGAAAATAGATAAGGATCTTTATTTTCTGTCTTACAGTTCAGTTTTACACCTTTTGCAGGTTGGAAACCAGCCCACCTCAAAGAAGATTAGGTTTGATGCAGAGTAGGCTTTGCATTGGAAACCAGAAGTATGCCTTTTTGACATTGAACATGTGTTTCCATCTGCTACTGGTTTCCTGTGTAGTACCTCGAGTGCATGTTTAGTACATTCTAAACTGGAGTGGATGTATAATAAACAAGATTTTGACTTCTTTTTTCTTAATACTTATATTTTCAATATCCTTACCAACCCTGCCACAAGTGTAGAGCAGTCAAGATTAAGACAAGCAGGTGGCTCTTTTAGTATACGGAAGCTTATATCGAATGTAACGATACTCTTTAGTATGAATATTTTTGTGAACTTCATGTACTCTTTACAAGAGATTGGATGTAGAAGATATTCATTTTCAAGTGTTGAGATGCAGCTATGATTTTAGACATTTTTGCCAAATTCCATGCAGTAGCTACACTTGTCTGACCTTATGTACCGCAAGAAAGACCTTTGAGCATACGTAATACTAATGTGAACTTTCCTCCAAGGGTGCAAACAGGAGAAATTAGGGAATAAAATCTCTTAAATTTGAGGTAAATTTAGTTCATTCTAATTCAATTAGGTAATTGTATTTTAATTTTGTTCAATCGGATCAATATGATTCAATATAACAATCACAATTTAATTTGATTTTATTGAGTAATTACACATTAAGGTCCTGTTTGAAAGGGATTAAATTTTTCTACAATAAATCAATTCTCATTTTCAACCATATATTTTTCAATAAAATAATATTTTTCATCACATCAATACTTTTTTCTTCTTTTTCAACCACACATTTCCCATCATATCACTATTCAAAAATCAATTCTTCCCTAAAATAATCAATTCTCATTTTCAACCACACATTATTTAATAAAATAATATTTTCAATCACATCAATAATTTTTTCTTCTTTTTCAACCACATATTTCCCATCATATCACTATTCAAAATCAATTCTTCCCCAAAAATCTCTCCCAGACAAGCTCTAAATAAATTTCAATTACGGTAACTTTGTCTAAGGTCCCAATTGGATTTTTGTCAATCCAAGTCATCCAAATTAGATTAAGTTACTTGATTTAAATGCGCCATTGATTTTTGTCAATCAAATTAGATTAAGCTACTGTGAATGAAATTTACCCTCTTAAAACTTGTCAATATTGGTGGATTTTATCCATTTTTACTCTCTTTGAAAGAAATTTTTTTTTTCTTTCACAATTTTTTGTTAACAAGGTAAATTAATGCAAAGAAGGTAGTTTTATCCTTTTTATACTTTCTGAAAAAGCCTTTATAAAAAAAGGTTGAACCTCAACCTTGAGGGTCCCTACATCCCCGCCCCTAGAGCATTGTGGAGGAGGTAAATCGCGGAATGTGCCTCAACAGGCAAGAGTACAGAGCTGCCATACTGGTGTTCACAAAGAGTCCAATTCCATATCTTGTAAGAGGCAAGAATCAAACCCTCACACTGCGGCTGCCAGCTCATCTGAGACTATCCCACTCATATCCTTTGTACCACCGAGCTATGTCCTGGGGGCCTGAAACAGCCTTTATAACTCTTAAGTAGGTTGGGACATGCCAAGAAAAACCTCTCCTTACATTTCCTTATTTGTTCATTCGACTCGTGTTTAAGATAAAGCTCCAAGTACTCGTAAATATTATCAGAATTGATATCGACGTTGACATGGTTGAACTTGATTGAACTTCTTTTTTTTATCTTCCAATGGCGCCGCGCCAAGTGTTGTCTATTAAAAAAATATGTATTTATAGCATGATTGTTGTTCGTTTCACCAAAATAAAGTTCCAAAAATATTTAAGAATAAGTTCCAAACAAACTTATCCAGATTGAAATTTTACAACCCGGGTGTCTCTATAGTAGCTGAAAACTATAAAGATCCAAACTTGATTACAGAACTGTTCAATATTTGCCCCAGCGAGACTATGAAATTCTCGACCACAAGAATCACCATTTCCCTTAAAATTGCAAATTTTATGCCACCGGACCAATAACATAATTTCTAAACATTCAAGCGCTCCACAGATAATCATGAAATATATATTTTTCACGTCGAGAATATGTACACAGGGTTCGGTTCAAAGTTCAATCACACTATGCAAAATTCGGATATGCATACGTTCGACCAAAAATCAAAACGAATACTAATTATAATCAGAGAAGAGTGATGAGAATAAAGATTAGAAGAGCAGCAACAAGTGTATATTTGAGAGCAGCAAGCAATATGGCTATTGATATGGTGAACAGCTGCCATAGTACCTGAACACTTGCCCAGGTCAGCAGACCAGTCAATCCGACGGCCACAAGGTTATCCGGATCAGGGTCCAGCAACAAATCCACCCATCTAAAATTCAATCTCGGCCGTCCATTATTAGCCTTCCCCTTTTCTCCATCAACTCTACCGCCGTTTTCGATGTTACTTTCTGATGTTAGTCCATTGTCATTTCCATTGCCGTTTTGTGCCGAGATTATGAATAATTTTTTAGGATTTTGGTTCCGGAGATGGAAATTGAGGTTCCGGATGGGAAGAATGGAGGAGAGGGGTCTGTATATTAATGGATTTCCTCGGGGTTGGGGTGGGGAGGAGAGGGCCATGAACCCTAACATCGATTTCACATTGCTTCTGATTGAACCGTCGAATTGGGGAAAATGAGTAACTAGTTGTTTTCCTTTTTTTTTTTTATTGGTGAAGGTACAACAAGTCTTGCATATGGTACTATGTTCGGCAACCAAGGAGTTTTCTAACTTGTTTTCTTCTAGTCTATGAATGGCAATTTTGAAGAAAAAATTGTTCCCATATCAAAGTAAAATAATGTCCACATTAAATTATTTTTTTAGAAAGGTTTTCACATTCCAAAATCTATGTACCCCACTATTTTCGAGATATATTTTAAAATGTTTTATCTCTCCAACTATTGATAACGCTTTATGAGTCTCTACTAGTTTTCAATAGACTATTGAATTTTCGAATTGTTTGTATATGATCTGATGAATTTAGTTTCAATGTCCATTTCGACTGATTATTCACTTGAAATTACTGATGTACCAACTTAACGCCTCACATTTAGCTCTCTTTCCTCATCTTAAGAATGACCTATGATAAGCATTGCTTCTTGCTTTGCTATGAGATTAAAGTGGTTCAAAAAGGTTTAGTAAGAGACCATGCCTTTGAGGTTCCTCATTAGATTTGATTGGTTCAGGTCACCTCTTTTTAAGGTGAAGGTATGCTTGATAAGAAGAGATGGAGGCATAACAAGACCGCAAAGAGAATGCGGGAATATAGAAAAAGAATGTAGGGAAGAGAGAAAAGAAATGATAGAAATAACGTGGAAAATAGAAGTATGCAACTTGAATGGAAATAGGAAACAACATGGGACGTAGTTGGATAAAAGCATTAAAGATAAGGATGTCATGCTTGTAGAGAAAATAAACTTACTTTACTAAAATGATAGAATTTTAGTGATTCCATACATTTTTGTAGTTAATCAATTTCATATCATAAAACGTGTAAAAGTAAATTAAACTTACTTTTACATAACTAAGAAATAATAAAAAAAATATATAATATTTATCAATCTAAAAATTTAAGAGTTTAACCTCTTTTATTTTTCTAGAAGTAAAAACACAATTTGTGGTTATGGGGTTCACTCTTGAGGCATGTAGAATGTTAGTTCAAATGGCAGCGGAACTGAGTTATAAATCAGAGAGGGAAAAAAGAAGCGACCACAGTGGGAGTCGAACCCACGACCTTTTGATCCGAAGTCAAACGCGCTAATCCACTGCGCTATGCGGTCAATTTGAAGATATGTTGTGATTATAAATTATATATATAAATATGAATATTCTAATATTTATTCATACAAAATATTATGTTAATTATAAAATAAAACCAAAAAGGAATTAAAGAAAACTCTAAAAATTTTGTAGCCGTTGAATAATTTCCACTTTATTAATATAAGGAACTTTTTTTAATAAACTATATTCACCAACTATAAACTGCAATTTAATTTATGAAATGTAAATTATATTTCGGAATTAATTAAATATATTCAGTAAAAAGCATTATGAATCGTAACAAATAATTTTCCCTTCGAGCCATAGTTCCTAACCGTCACATCTTCAACCGTTCACTTCAATGTAGTCGTCCAACTTAAATGCATTGACTGTCGTTGAAATCTATGTGTACTTTTAATTACAAAATGAAAATAAAAGAAAACCATGGAAAATCCTATAGCCTTTTAAATTATTTCTCCTTTCATTAAATAGGGGCGCCGTAGAGGGACAAATGCATGATGCAAAGTCGAAGTGTTTAAGGAATTGAAAAATGTTTGCAAACCATTTTTCTAACATCCAACCAACTATGCTCTCCTTACCTAACACATTAAATTCTTACCTTATACTTTTGATTGGAGTTCGTTCCTTACCTTCTCTTTCGGGGCATTAATATTATGGGGCTGTCATCTATGCAAAACCTTAGGCAGTCGACTATAATAAGGGCCCCTCTGTGAATAATGTTTATGTTTTTTTTTTAATTTAATTATTTATAGATTATAACTGTGTTTTTTGTTGAAAAATGTAAAGTTACCATTTTATCCTTTTAGAATTAGTCAAAATTACGGTCAATGTTAATTCTTTAGTTAACTAACGGTCAAACTAACAAAAACCATCCATTTGAATTTCAAGTGCGACATTTTGAAATGTTTGGTATTGTGTGTGGCACAAACGAAAGATTTGGACAAAATTTGCTACCGAATGAAAGATTTGATACCGTGGCTCCAATTTTTCCTAAATTTTTTTGCATATGCATTTCTTTGGGTCCATTGGAAGAGCTACAACGTATTTGGGTACAAAATCCTAAGAGAGTTCATTTGAATTACATCGATTAGCGTGTCAATCAAGGACTCATTTTAAAAAATCTTGTTCAAGATTAATTATGACGAGATTATAATGAAGAGAAGTACTAAATTCCAAGAAATGTGTGGATAGTAAGCATGATTGTATGATTAAAATGAATATTTGTTTATGATTTTAAATTATGAGGAAACTATAATTTCAATGCGGCTCGCTAGAAGAGTTTGTTGGGTGTGTGGGGGCGGAGCTGAGGGGGAGAATGGTTAGGTGCGAGCTAATTTCATTCTATTTTTATTTTTTATAAGGCTAATTTCGTATTAAATACTCAATTCATTTCATAAAGATAGACTTACTTTTATTTTTATACATATTAAGAAAATTCATTAATACAGTCGAAAATCTAAATTTCACTTACACTTTTCTAATACATTCTTACATTAAATAATAATTTAAATAGAATCAATTCATAGTTATTGACAACAAAATACATTAAATAGAGATATATTAATAAATTAATAAATTAAAATTAAAAATGAAAATCATCATAGTGAGTCTAATTTTTCGGTGAAAATAAATAAATTGAAAGCCATTAAAAAGGGTAATCAAGAAAATTGTCCTCATGTCCTGTGTAACACCACCTTTGAGTTGTCCTGGATACATGTAAATGTTACACCCGAGCCTATCTTCTCTTAACTTTTCACCTCCAAATTTAATGAAGGCAGACCAAGAGAAAGAAAGACATAAATACATTTTATAGATTTAATTAAATGAATCGCGTGATCTTGCATTTAAATGAATTTATTATTTAATACTATATAAGTGTTGCCTAAACTAGTGCTTCACACCAATGGTGATGAATATCATTACTCATTCTAAATTGTCTCTCTTACTAAAACTAAGATGAGCTTTACCTAAAAACAAAAGAATCTTGAAGTTGTCATTGTATGATCCTCTCCCCGAGCTTGACAAATAAATGTTGAGTATTAAACAAATAATAGGTCATGCACGACTTAACGCTTCAGAGATTCTTTTACTTGATTTACGACCGTAACATATGTCAGCTCAATACGAAGGAAATTATGCGGAAGCTTTACAGAATTATTATGAAGCTATGCGACCAGAAATTGATCCCTATGATAGAAGTTATATACTCTATAATATAAGTCATCCATATAAGTAATGAAGAACATGCAAAAGCTTTGGAATATTATTTTCGAGCACTAGAATGAAAACCATTCTTACCCGCAACCTTTTAATAATATGGCCGTGATCTGTTATTACGTGGGACTATTTACACTATATAAAGAAAAAAGAAAAAAGAAAAAGAAAAAAAAATTTGGTAGTACGAAAAAAATAAGCTTTCTATATATGCATCATCTAAAACAACGATTTTAATTATCCATAGCAAAGAAATAAACTTCATAGAAGTCAAAATATGAAGAAATAGATAGTTTGATGTTAAACTAGCCATTTTTGATAATCGAGAAAAATCGATACTTGGAAATTGGTGCGTCTCCCCAATTGTATTTAGCTTTGTCAAGAATCTACAATTGTGGAATCGAGTCAAAACCACATACAATCTCTTCCTAATCTAAGATGGCCAAAAAAAAAGTTGTGTTTGTATAATCCTCTTTCAATCTGCTCGGTTAATTGGCTACTTAGTATCGAACAAATACTACTACTAAGCAAGGTTCTAAAATGCGTAATGCGAGACGATACGTTTTTGTCGAGTACCAAGCATTACAAGTATTTGCGTATTTATGCGAAACATATACATAATTGTGTGTTTTCCAATTTTTAATATTCTAAACTAATAATAAATAAATAAAGTAATGCATTCTTTGAATTTTATACATATTCTTCAAAATTTAAAAAATAAATAAATATATATTGCTAAAAATTTTAAATACTACAATTACTTGAACTTTATACTTATCCCATGTTTGGTATGGATTAAAATTAGATTTTTTATATATTTTGATAAAAGTTGATGAAATGTGTGGTTGAAAAGTTATGAGTCCCATAAAATGTGTGGTTAAAATTACTTATTAACTTTGATTTGGATTAAAATTTATATTTAAATTTCTATCAAACATAAGTTTACTTTTCAAAATTTCAACAAAAACTATTGCTCAAAATTATAAATACTATAATTACTTGGTATTCAATTTTTATAATTAGATTAGACACGAACATCTGCTTAAATGATGCGAACATACGTAACAATTGTAGTTACGAAACCCATGATAGATTCGTTAAAGCTCAAGAAAGTCAAGAATCAATGTTTGAAAGAAAACTCGACCCAATAAATTATTGAACCTAAGAACTAAGACAATTACAACAATATCTTGATCTCGTGATTACAAAATTTATGAACCTTACTTGAATTGTTGAATGTCACAAGAATTTAATTGTTGAAAAGTTCGAAAATTTGATGAAGAACGAGAAGAAAGCAATATGCCTTGTAATAACATCCTTCAAATTGTCGGTTATTATAATGAATGGAATGAATTCTATTTATATGGAAATCATAAAACCTAATTAAAAATGGAACTAATATTTTAAATATAAAGAATTACCATAAAATTAGAGTTTTAAATAAACTAAGATTCTTTCAAAAAATTGAAAAATTCTTCCCAAAATTGTGCTATACGGCCGCATAGTGTATGGACACATGGTCGCATAGTTCATCTAAAAGTGCCACTTCGATTCTTGGTATAGAGGCATGCGGTCTCGTAGTTACT